GCAGCTGCCTATTATTCTCAATTTTCTCATTTAAAGAAAAAAAATGGCGGGAGGGAGGTGGGACAGTGGTAAACAGGACGCGTGTTGTAAATAGTATATAAAGCACATGAGTATTTAGTAGTATAGTCAAACATTCTGATGTTTCCTTATGGATTGCCCAGTTTGGAAACTGAAGAACCACCACACATGCAAAGATGGCTGCATGGGAGCAGCCATGCTCCCCGGGACCGAGAGGCCCAGCGTGAGTGAGGGTCTTCACACTGTCCTGTCTGCTAGAGTGACTTTCAAACAATTCCGAATGTGTGCCAATGGGAGAAATGTCTAACGATGGTCTACACAGTCTCGGGGCCTCTTCTCGGCTCCGGCAAATGCAGCTGCAGCTGCAGCCGATTGAGGGTGCGGGAGTGGCCCCTTAACCCCTGTGCAGCCTTGCGGCCAGGATGGCTCCAGCCGCTGGCTGAGGAGACACAGAGGCGGGTACCTGTCATGTCCTCCCCTCGCTTCCTGATAGGGACGGTACTGGAGCTGCTTCATGGGAACAAATGTCTCTGCTTTTATGTTATCTCCCCATCCCCTTTTTCTTTCAAGGTGAGTGTGTCCTTAATTTTGAGATGACGTTCCCAGCACCTTCACGAGGCGGTCAGTAAGGTGAAGATGAGCTGCTTCTTGCTCTCTCTAGCCTTTCTCCTGGTGTGTAGCCACTGGAGTCAGGGCCCTGGCTGCCTTTTTGCCTGTCTGCACTTGCTGTAGCTTTTGTCAATATTAAATTTAATTTGTGCTCAGAGCACTTGGCTAACGGGGGAGAACACAAAGCTCGCTGAACTTTACCTTCCCTGTGTGTTCAGTCCAGCCGGCATTAGCAAACCTAATGAACTCTGCAAGGTTGTCCTGCCCAGATGTAGGTCAATTCTGTTGACTGAACACGTTGTGTGTTTAGAAACTGACCTTGTAAAACCCACTTGAAATTTATCTACTTCACCGCCCGCCGAATCTTGTTCTCTTACAATGGAATGTATTTGTGCCCAAGTATCAATCCAGTGGGCCAACATTAAAGTGGTCAACATCAACAACAGACATTTATTGAGCGCCTATTGTGTGCAAGGCACTGTAATAGGTATGGGGCTACAGAGACAAAGAGACAGCCCCTGCCCTCAAGGAGCTTACAATCTAGTCTAACAGACACAGACATAGAAAGACACAGGGCACTCAGACATAGAAAGACACAGGGCACTCCAAGGTAGCATGTCATTTTGGGGCACAAGTACAAAACAGGGTCTCGGCCTTTTGTTTTTGTTCACTTACATTTCAATACCCTGAGTAGGTGGGAGTGAGCTACAAACTCCTAAGCCTTCAGAACAGCCTCGCCTCTTCCCACCTCAGAAGTCTTCTGGAAAGTGCCAAAGCCTGGGCCACCCCTAACCCTCTGCCACACCCCCTCAGGCTGTGTTTTTAGTTTTTCAGGTTTTGTTTTTGAGAATCTTCAGAGAGGGAGACATTCTGCTCGCTTTGTCCAAGATGGCCCCTACTTTTGGGATTTAAAGCCCTGGTTGCCCAGTCTAGGCCAGCCAGGAGGAGCATCTGCACTTCCTCTGTCTTAGGATGGGGTAGACTCTTGCAGCCACCATGCTGCTGCTCTGGGAGGCCCTACACCGGATCTGTTCCTGGACAGATCTAGAGTTGACAGCGCACTCGGAAGACATCCCCAACACAACACTGGAGGGTTAGCAGACAGGAGGAGATAGGAACTCAAGAGAAGCAGGAAGATGAAGGAGAAGAATAATTGGAATGAAAGGTGCAGACCCAGAGAGGAGCTCTGACCTCTGTCAGGGAAGGGTTCCCTCTGGGAGACCCAGGGTCATCAGCCGGGACAAATGTGGAGAGGTGCACAATGGGTGCATAGGAATTTAAACAGCACCATCTATATTCTAACAGAATTTACATTCCCTCTCACTTCCAGCCTTCCATTTACCTTCTAAATTGTCCTTTGAAAGCTGAAATATAGTGGTTATTTTAATATGGGATTATGTGTCCATTTTAATGTAGTTCAGGTGGCTCAGAGATGGGGAGGGCTGGAAGACAAGAGATGCCTTGTCTCTAGACAACAGTAATCCAAGGATTCCAAGGACACATAGCTTACCCTTTAGGTCCAGGGCCTTGCTCTTTGTTTTCAGGTAGTTTTATGTAGCACTGACCTCCATCCTCTTAGGACCGAGTGGCCCTGGATCAGTCCGTTTCTGTGCCTAGCCCTAAGGAGTATAGATCCGGGAGAGCAAAGTGCGGGGCTTGGCTCCCTAATGCCTGTTTGTGGGGATGGGAATCACACATCCAAGTCCCCACGCCGCACAATGAATATTTACCTCCTGATGTTCTTTTAATGTGCGCTTTCTTGGGTGAATATTTACTGTAGAATATTAAATGTGAGATTTCCTCCTTTTTATGGGCCATTTGAAGTGATGGATTTTGTTTGTGAATCCCTGTATTTTCGCCCATAATGGCTATCTATTGTAATGGCCCCTGCCAAATGCTCTTGTGTTGAAATAACAGAAGCCATGGACCGGCCAGCTGTGGCATCATATTACTGTGGTCTTCAAAGCTAGGAGGAGGCTGAGGATGCCACTGGGCAGAAGAGAAAGGTATGTGACACCAAGTATGACTGAGACTTCACATATCCCGAAATCACCCAGTCTGTAAACAGGGTTCCGAGTCTTTCAAATCCGAGTTTATGTTTAATGGCGTTGGATGGCGTTAAGCCTGACAGTTGTGAAATGATAACGGTGAGACATGGATTCAATTGCCCATAGCCAGGCCCATCAGCATGCGCCATCAGAGCTGTCACCATTTCCTCCAATACTGCGGCAAAACCATGACCCAAGTGATAATTTCTTACACTCAGCTACTCCATGTTTTCTAAATAAATAAATAAATAAATAAATAAATAAATAAATAAATGAAACAGAAAACATGAAGTCACATATTGTGGCTAATGTGAATTTAAAATATTTTCCTGTGGAAGAGCCAAGATTTTGGTCATGTGGTTGCTTCTCTTTTGAGTATTTAAGAGGAGGAAATTACAAAAGATGGGCTCATCTTGATGTTCTTTATGTTTTTTTTTTCCTTCCTTAAAAAAGAAAAGAAAACCACAAAACCTAAAGACATTCAGACATGTGTGATAGTGTCAGGTGACAGTTGCATTCTGACATGTGTGATAGTGGGTCAGGTGACAGTTGCATTCAGACGTGTGTGATAGTGTCAGGTGACAGTTGCATTCTGGCAGGTGGGCTTTTCCAAATTTCCTTAAGCATAGGGATCGTTAAAGGAGCCACTTACATTTCAACGAGTACTCTCTTCAAGGGACTGTGAAGGTGGCCCGTCAATCAACTGTGTGCAATTCATACCCTTCTTCTTGTGTTCACAAAAAGAAATCGGCCCCGCTGTGGCAGAATACAATTCATTTTCCTACAAAACCTCAGAAGACACCTGAGGGACGAATCTACCAAGCCTTAAATAGCACTTTCAAATGGTTTTTCTGACCATATCACGGTAATGCTTTGTTTTTGATGTCTGAGTATCTGGACTGTATTTGCATCTCCACAATGGTACTCGGCACAGTTAATAATGGTTCTCCCTAATGGAAGGGAAAGGGACATTACCGGGAAAGGACTGGTGATGTGAGACACCTTTAATCACAGGCCCTGCCCTGTCTGTAAGGTGATGCCTGTTCCCTGGTGACATCAGCTGCTGCCTTCCAATCTGCCATTAGAGACACTAATGCTCCTTTGGCAGTGTGCAAAGAAAAGTCTGCTATATTCTTACTTTTCTGAGCAATATAACTTTTTAAAATGAGAATCTGTAATCCTATTGATTTTGGATTTGAATGAAGTGAGTGAGTGAATCCTACACATTACTTCTAAGACTTGCAGCCAGTGGGCCGGCACCATTCATGGGACAGTGGACTGGGAGCTGGGGAATGTCACAGTCAGGGAACATTCAGAAGCCCCCACCCCTCACTCAGGGGATGGATCTTAGGCAAGAGAGGCCCGGAAGGAAACATGGTTTCCACCTGGAGGACCTTAACATCTTAACCCTGACTTGAAGTTTCCAGCTACTGTTAGAGTCCCATCAATCCACGTGTGTAGTCCCCATAGAAGTCAGCAAGGGGCTTAGATTTGCAAGGGAAACTCAAGGGATCTTCTGGTATGTTCTTAAGATGAGCAAAGCAGACCTTAGCGAGAAATTGCTTGTATCCGTTGCTGCTGAGGAAAGCTATTGTATCTCTGAATTCCACTCATTAGCATCTTTTTGTTTTAATAGCATAGATTTTGGTTTTCAAATTTATGTACATTAGAAAGTGTTATAGTTGTTCTCGTTATGAAAGAAATTTGCCTGAAGCTGAGGGTTCAAGCAGCGTCGCACATTTCCACGTCACACACCGATTTCAAGCTAACAATGAACATTGTGAACGCAGTAACTCACTAGCCCGATTCTAGGCCATTCCTACCACCATCAGGGTTAAAGAGTCAGGAGGGATAAATTGCCACATAATCTATAAAAATACTGCCTAGAGTACACTAAAAAACTCTCAATAAATAAATAGCAGACATTTGCTTATGAAAATCATTGGAGATGTGCTCTTCAGAGACATGTCCGTGCTTTCAGGGTTTTTATGAGTCACAGAGTCTGACAAATGACAAAGACTATGGGCCAGGCGGATGTCCGTAAAGAAATGCAATGGAAGGTATTGGGCTGCTCCTGTTTTGGTTTCGAAGGCAACAGTTCCACCCTGGAGTGTTCTAGCCGTGGCAGTGCCACTGAATTAAGGGTTCAGTGTCCCTTTCCTAGAGACAATACTCATTAGGGTGCATTCATTCTGAAACTTTCCCTGGCCTTGGGGTTCTGTCCATGGTTCTGAAGGGCACTACTGTCCGGTTCCCATCCGCTGCCTGGAGTTCAAGTCCTTCCTCTCCTGGCTGATGGTGTGGACACCACGCCTGCCTTTCTGGCATGCGCACTCCTCAGAACACGGGCTTGTCCTCCCCGTGGCTCACAGCAGGTGACTCTGGGTTCCAGTCTGGTTGAAAGAAGTGAATGTTGAATGTCCGTGCCCAGTTCTTAAACACCCGTTTCTCTGTGATGAAACGGTGGTGACTGCCCTTGCGTCCTCGCTCATGCGAGAGATACATTGTGCATTCATCAGGTCCCGAAGGCTCGTAGTAGTGGTAAGGTACGGAAGGGTGCTTAGGGTCCCTGTGGGAGGAAAGAGAGATAACTATTAAAGCAGGACAGAGCAAAACACAGCATGCAACGTGCCTTTTCATCAGCCACTTCAAGAAGGAGGTTATTCTTATGAGCTGACAGACACAAATCATATTTTCTCATCAAATGAACTCCAGCAGATGGCTTTGCTGGTGCTGAAGCAATAAAGAAACAAAAGAGAGGTTGAGGCTGTAAACCACGCACAGCATCGGGGCTTAGAAATGCGGTCGATGTGCGGGTCCTAGGCTTTAGGCAGTGTTTGTGTGTGTCCTTGTACTAAGGCTTCTAGTTGCCACACTTGTCCCTAAACTCCCCAGAGCCAGTGTGTTTGGCTCCCCACGGCTGCAGTCTGTGCCCACGGCGGCTGCTCAGTGAGGCAGGACCTGGCTGCTCTCTGCAGCCCTGCCCTAAGCCACCCCAGCATTGCTCACTCGGCTTCAGGCATGCTGGACTCTGACCGACAGCTGTAGCAGCCTTGCCCTACCTCAGAGCCTTTGCACTGAGGATGGTCCCCTGTCTGGAGTCTTCCTCATGAGTTCGTCCTGTCCCCAACAGGGAACAGGAGGCACCCTCCTTCTGGTGCTTTGAGCGAGAATGGCTCCCATGTGAATGTTTGCTTCCCAGTTGGTGAGCCGGTTAGGATTAGGAGGTGTGGCCTTGTTGGACAAAGTGTGTCACTGGGGGTGGGGGCTGGGGTAAGCCCCGTCTCGCGCTCTCCGCCTCCCATTTATGGATCAGGATATGAGCTCTTGGTTATTGCTCCAGCACCACGTCTTCCTGCTTGTGGCCATGCGCCCTGCCATGATGGCCATGGACCCCCAAACTGTAAGCAAAGCCCCAGGGTGCTTTGTTAAAAGCTGGTGTCTCATCACGGCAACAGAACAGTAACTAAGATGCCGCTTGAGCGCCTCACCTTCCATCCCCTTCACTCCCCAGTCAGTTTCCTTAGAGCATCAGTCTTGAAACTGCTGCTGTTTACCTGCTTATTGTCCACCGCGAGGACAGGGATTCGTCTCATTCCTGGGACTGTGCCCAGTGTGGAGGTAATGAACAATGCTTGCATCTCTGTCCTTGGATGGAGCGGGCAGCTGGATGCCGCACCACTACAGACATTTTCTCCTCCAACACTTCCAAGTCTGATTCCATGGGGTAGACAAGAAGCAGGCAGCCACTGTTCTGTTCCCATTGCAGATGGGTCATCTGTCCAGAACACCTCAACTCCCATCCCTTGGGGTAGACTGGCAGTGACAGCTTGCCTTTACTATATCCCCTGTGTCTGCCTCAGATAAGAACACTTGGGCAATGTCTTCAAGGTGGGTAGGCCCAGTCCTAACATATGTATGCGTGTGTGTGTGTGTGGGGGGGCTTGTTATAAGGAGACACTTGTGCTCTGCTGTCAGCCAAGTCTCCGGTCTAGAACAGTTCTCCTGCTTCTCCTGGGCTTGAACACTGGACAGGTAGCTCTGTCGAGGCTCTCATCACACAGCCTCTGCTGTTTTAGACCCTAGACATGTCCAGTCTGCTGCCGTATATATCCCAAGACAGCTATGAGTACAGCCTAATGCGTGCATGCATGCCGCAATGGCATGTCACAGGTCGAAAGGTCAGGCACTCCCGCTAGAGGAAGGAGCAGGCTGCAGGTAAGGTTTCCCAGTACTACCTTCAAAGACACGCCAGCTGCCTCCCTCCAGGTGCACAGTAAAGTGTGTGCCTGCTTAACACGAACAAGCCAGCGAACGAACCAAAAAGTAGGACCTGTCTGCACAGACACAAGCAACACGGGGCACCGTTGCTGAGAGGGGCAATGTATAGAAGCCTGCAGTCCCTACCCCGAAAGTAATCCCCAGTTGATACCCTCTTTACGAGGAACGATCATTTTTCTCCAACACAAGTCTTACTGACACCTAAGGGCAGGCCCCACCCATGGTGGTATGGCTGGGGGTGTGTGGAAGGAGTTGTGGGCATCAGAATACATTGTAGGAAATTAAAAAACAACAATATAAATATATATATATACATATATATATACATGTATATACATATATACATATATACATATACATACATACATATATACATACATACATACATACATACATACATATATATATATATATATATATGAAAGAAAATAACCATCCCCAACCCACTACCCTCCAAACACAAACACAAAAATTAAAAGCAAGCCAGGCCAGGCCATGAGTTCCAGCACAGCCTGGTCTACAGAGCTAGTTCCAGGACAAACTAAAGAGGCCTTCCTCTAAGAGGGGGGGGGCGCTACCACCCCCAAACCCCCATCCCCCGCCCCCGCCCCTTATCCCCACCTTCCTTTGAGACAAGGGTCTCAAGACCTCCTCCTGCCAGTTACCTCCTGTTCTTTTTCTTGCTGGAAATCAATACTCAAATGAGTTTTAGAGGAGCAGCCTCCCGGGGGGGTCAGAGGTCTAAGTCTTTTATCAGGAGAGGTGTCAAGTCTGTGGCTCTGACAACAACAAATCTCTGGGAAACTTCTCCTCTTAGGTTAAAGTTGTTCCAGGAAGAGAGATTTATTTTCCTTCTGCCAGCCCAGACACTGTGCTGCGTTAACCCTTTGCCTCTCTAAGTTAAGCCCGCCTTGGGTCAGGGATTGTTCGCCTGTCGTGTCTATCAGTGCAGTTTTTAGTGGCCATGCTAGACCTGGGATAATGTAAGGTTCAATAGAAAGCATTTCCAATACAGAAGACTCATGTTGGAAGAAAGTCAGGTAGGAACTGGCCGCTAAGTTATAAATAAACGAAAAGGGACAGAAGAGTTTTAATGGCTGAGGCAGGAGGACCACTGCGAGTTCCAGGCTAGCCTGGGTTATAGAATGGAGTGGGGCCTTCTCTAAAGCAAATATAAAACGACAGCAATAAATAAGTCAAAACTCAAACTAGAAAACAAAAGCCAAGGAGTACATGTGTGAAACCCATCTCTGAGGGTTCATGTAACATGACTGAGGAAGGCTGCCAAATTCACTGTGCCATGCCAGTACCAGGCTTAATCTTTTCTTTCATGTCAATTCAGCTTTTAAATGCGATTCACCCCAGTTTTAGGCATCTTATTGGCATCAATCTACTAAAGAAACAATTAGGTTTCTAAAAATATCGTGATTGATGCAGCATCTAGGAGTAGAGGGTAATTGGAAGTCGGCTAAAGGATGCTGGGGATCAATTTCATTATTCAAGAGGACCATCTCTTTGAATGAAGGTTTATTGGATTCCGTATTGATCACCTACAGGGAGATAAGATTTATGTATTTGGGTACCATGATTTCAGAGGTGTCTAAGTGACCATTCATGGAAGTGAAAGTTGTTTTCTGTAGTGGGATATTTACTTTGTCCCCATCTGTGGCACTGACCACGCCCATTGGGGATGGAGCCAGGGGCGGAGGTGACCTGTGGAAGGAGGTCTGAGGAGCCAGGGAATGCTCTCTTGCGGGACATAAGAGCATCCGGTGGAACTTGCTGGTGTTCATCTGTCTAGGTTGTAAGTTATTTCTCCCTGAATAAACATCTATTCGGCCTACTTGTTTATCCTGATCCTTATTAAACCGCAATAGTTTTCATCTTTGGACATTTTGTCCAAAGAATTGAGAAGCCCTATTCTGGCCTTGGGAATGCAGAGCTGAGGCAGGGTAGGGTCTGCCCTCTAGGATGGGAGTCTGCCCTTGCTCCAGACCCTGAGTCCTTTCGTTGCACCTCCAACCTGCCTTTTCCTCTTCCTATTCCCCATCCCTGTCAGTGTCTGTGAATTTCCATATGCAAAGGCTGTGCTCAAAGGGAATTGGACTTCATGTCTGGGGCAGGGAGAAGAAGAGGCTGAGCTGGTGCAGAGTGGCCCAGAGTAAGTTCCCCTGCTGCCTCAACTTCCTCAAGCCAACAGTGAGTTCTGCAGAGTAACCAAAGAGCAGGCAGGTGAGGATCGTGAGGGAGGGAACTAGCAGGTAATGTACAGAAGGAGCTTTACGGGAACGTCGCCCAGCACGTTGCTCCCGTGGATTCGAGGTCATACAGAGAGGTCACAGCACAAGTGGCTTTTGACGTGTCTTTAGGTTTGAGCATCAAAATAGATAGCAGTGTTGGGTAACAAAACCCATGAGGCAAAATAAATATCTACAGTCCCGTGAAGACTGCAATGAAGAACTGAATAAATAGTTAACAAAAGAAGAAGTAGCCTGCCGTTTCAAAAGAATTCCAATCAATAAATATAGAAAAAAAATGAAGATATACAACATCACTCCTAGGACAGCGCAGTAATTGTTGAAAGTGAGGTAGGAAAGAGACTGGAGAACCTTGTTATCCGCATGGCCTTAATGTATCTTCCTAAAGATACGTGTTAATGGGCACGTGTAAAATAGTCAGGAATTCCGCCAATCAGGTAATTGCTAGCAATGAGAGGACAGAGACACAGGGCCACATTCAGCCCTCTCTAGCTTGAGGAGTGTCCCAGGTGGCTTAAAGGGACCCCAGCTCAAGCCAAATCGGAATTTGTGGCTATGATTCTGAAAGGAATTTCAGGACTCAACAGTTCAGTGAAGTAAAACTGCTGATTAATGATGGTTTTCGTTTGTTTGTTTGTTTGTTTTTTAATGCAGGCTTAAGCATAGGGGTTAAAGGAAAGACAGGCACTCAGAAGAAAGTAACACACACTCAGGCAGGAGTGTGTGCTCTACAGGAGAGCACAGGGAAAGTAAGACATACCCAAGCATGGATACAGGTTCCTTGAGGGAGATAAGCAATTAATTATCCCAGAATTAGCCATTTGTACCATTTTAGTGGCTCTCGAGTTGCCTCCCAGAAGGCCATTAAGAAGCCCATTCTTTCCTTGCTCTCTCGATGTGACACATGAAGTGGCTTCGAAATGCTGGCAAAGGCTTCAACCAGACCCCCAGACAGGGGATCTTCTCCCCTTCTTATGTCCCCAACTATCCTGCCTTAGCATCACTAGTCATAAGACACAGTGCCACCATG